CCACAGCTGTCTGTGTTGAGTATATTTAAGTGGGCGATTAATTTGAAATATTTCCCCTCCTCTTGCTCTTCTCCAGCAGATGGTGTAACATATCTAACGTGCTCTCTTACCACGATTCTCTGCAGACTCAGTAGTTGACTGGGTTGAAGAAACCAGAGATGTGGATAATGTCGGTGACATTGCTGTTGATACTGCTGGTGATACTGAAAAAAAAGACAATTTAATTTGGCAAGAGAATAACCCTTAGAGGTCCTCTCTTTTCTCTTGGGTTTGTTAATACATTCACCGAGAGCACAAATGCATTTTTTTGATTGGTCTCCCGTGTTTCTGAAACACAAAAATAGGAAACTAAATAATGAATAAATGATAATGAATGAGACTGAATCCATTCAGCTGCTGTTGTGACAGGTCAATATATCTGCTGTGAACAAAAGGTCTATTGTGTAAGAGCCTTTTAAAGGAATAGTCTCAGTGTGAGAAATGCTCTCATTTGCTTTCTGACAGAGAGTTCTCTTCACAGCCAGTATGGATCATATTTACAGTGAACAGTAACACTTTCATTGTACATTCAAGACAAAATTTCAGCTTATCCTTAAAGATTGTAAAACATGCATAAACACTAAATCTGTGTTGATGAAACTGAACACTTGATAAGGGTTTTGGTTGTTGCTGATAAAGTTCTGCTGTCAAATCACTGCAGGATGCTGCTCTGAGACGTGCAGGAAATGAAAATGAGCACAAACAGCAACAACATCAGGTGATCTTAGTCAGCGTCAGGATATCACAGCTGACTGCCATTTGAAAAAAAAAGTTAAATGATCAAGAACAAGAAAGGAAAAACCAGTTCAGCTGTTTTACGGTTGTTACACACTGTGACAGTCCCAAAAACTGGTACAGATAGTTAGAGACAGTACAGTTAGAAAAGAGCCATCAGCATATGATAGTAAACAACTGTGTGGTAACATGACCAGATCAGACAGATCTGGTCACCAAGCAGGTTTAATACTGAATGGGTTAGAGAAAATCCATGGTATGATTTTCTTTTCTCCAAAAGGTCAATATTTCCAAAGTCAGTAAATAATTGTTTTAATTAATCATGATCTCAAAACTATTGGTCAATAAGTGATTACGATTTTTGCGATAATCGAGCAGGTCTAATAGGATGCTCTCACCAGGATTGCTAAGTAAAACAAAAATAAGAATATTATCTCAGTTGTGTCTTTTTAACTGAAACCAAAAAGTTATTTTTAATGTTTCGGCTGACAGTGACTGAAATTGTATATGACATGCAATAACATTAAAGGCAATCAACTCAAAATATGTCTTATCTGTTTGATGGCAGGAACAGCACAGGTGTTAATAATAACATTAACAATGGCTCTGTTATATTCAAGTCTAACAGTAAGTCATGACAGTGAGTCAGCATGAACAATATCAGGACCCTGAAACTGCAGCAGCTAAATGGAATTCAGCTCATTTTATTATTTACACCTGTATTTTTCCTAATGTGATGTAAAAATGTCTTCTGTGAAAAAGGTCTGATGCTACCAAATGTTTTGCTCTTTACCAAAGGGAAACTAACAAACTAACTAACTCTGGTTCATTATAAAACTTAAACTGTAACTTAGGGACTCTTTATTCACGCCAACTCAGATTCTGTCACTGCTTCTTTTGCCATGGTGAATCATAGTATTGCTGATCCATTGATGATGGCTTTATTTATTATAACAATAACATTAACAATGGCTCTGTTATATTCAAATCTAACAGTAAGTCATGACAGTGAGGCAGCATGAACAATATCAGGGCCCTGAAACTGCAGCAGCTAAATGGAATTCAGCCATCATTAAATTTATTGTTCACACCTGTGTTTCTCCTTCTGTGATGTAAAAATGTCTTCTGTGAAAAGGTCTATTGCTTCCAAGTGTTTTGCACTTTACCACAGAGAAACTAACTGTGGTTCATTATAAAACTGTAACTTATTTATCTTTATTCACGCCAACTCAGATTCTGTCACTGCTTCTTCTGCTTTACCCGTCGCCAGGGTGAATCGTAGTATTGGCGATCCATTGATGATGGCTTTATTTATGTCTTGCATGCACTTGGAGGTTAATATAGTCAGAGCTGATACAACTGATAGTCAACTACATCCACACAATAAAACAACATCACTCACCGACAGTCATCACCAGTTTGTGGAAGAATTTCTTGCTGAATGTTTTGTTAGTGCTTTCTGCTCCACACCAGTATGTCCCAGTGTCGTCTGTTGTTACGTCTCTCACTGTTATGGTGATATTTCTCTTATCTTGTTCCTCCTTCATAGAAAACCTCCCAATGGTCTTGTTGCGCTGTGTGCTTAATAGAGGTTGACATATAGATGGATCTTCTCCCTTACAGATGAATTTGTTTATCAGAGTATATTTGGATATTCACACCAGTATGTAAGATTCTGTCCAACAGCTGGAAACGTGGTGAAGTTAGTAATAGAAGCTGTAGAGACACAGACAGACATCGTTGTGTATCAGTGACTGTATTTAACAACATTTTTCAGAGACACTTTAATTATCTGTGTGAGAAAATCAAAGCTCAAAGTGTCAGATGTTTGCTGCTCACAGTTAACCTTCAGCTGTATCTTTCTGAGAGAAGCTCTGTAACTTCCTTCATGTGTTTCCACTCCACACCAGTAGACACCAGCATCACTTGAGGACACGTTACTGATGGACACGCTGAAGCTACTGTTGGTTTCTGTGAGAGTGAATGTCCCGTTTGACTTCAGAGAGGATTTTGTTGATGAAATATCCTCACAGATTGAACCGTTCTGTTTGCAGAAGAACTTGTATTTGTTTCCTGTGTAATCACATGTGATGGTGGTTTTAGCTGTTCTGTACGCAGTTTGATTAAATTGTCCCTGGCAGCCGTCTGTCTCTGCAAATAAACAAGAAAGGTAAAATGTGAAACTGTGATAATGTGCTAACACATGATGTAAATGCAAATCACCACACTCATACAGTAAAGTGTGAATCATGTTAAATCTACTTTTATTGGAATTTGGTCTCTGTTGCAGATTGATCTCCATTTTGTTTATCTAAGTAGATGATGACTTGAAATAGAAATTGACTCTAGTGAATGTGAAATTAGAGTCAAAATAGTCTGGAAATTTATAACCAACATCTGTAACATTCATTTCAATAAAAAGTGAGTGCCTCTTACCAACGTCCAAGTCCAGTTCCACTGTGTCACATGAGTCAGGTAGTTGGTTAAATTTACAGGTGTAATTCCCAAAGTTCTCATGTTCAGTTTTATTAATGGCCACCCTGAGATGTTTTTTTTTTGGATCATGGTACAGGAAAACTCTGCCGTTGTTTTCCCACACATTCTTTAGAGCACTTCGTATGGTTTCTTTGGGATTAACTAAATCAATACTTTCATATGTTACATTTGGTTTTGGATATTTGCAGGTGAATTGAATCCATCCTACTGGGCATCCCTTCACTTTAGACAAGACCTCATGACCTGTAGATCAAAGACAAAAGTTCACAACATGACACTTGACAGACTGTCATCTGAATTAGCTCTCTATCAATGCAACATTGCAACTTTACTTTGAGCTCAATATTTACCACTTGGAAGCAGTATACAAACATTTAATACATTCTTTTAACACACTATAATGTAGTTATAGGCTGCTATGAGGACAGTATCTGTCAGCAATTATAATATCTTATTTAAAGATATATTTTATATAATTGCAACTGTGGCCATTGGTGGTTGTTGGTTGTCTGACTCAGAGTAAAAAAGTCCAGCCCAGAACCTCATATAGCTTCAGCTGAATTTCTAAATGTATTCTCACATCCTTTAGGAAATGATCTCTTTGCAGCTAGTATTAGTCACAATAACAGTGAACAGTAAGACTTTCAGTGCACATACAGGAATCTGATGATTGATTTGTAAGAATTGATAAAATGTGCATCTATCCTTAAAAAATTAAGTATCTACATCTGTGTAAATAAAATTGATCACTTGTTAAGGGTTTTAGTGTTGCTGATAGAGTTCTGTTGTCACATCACTGCAGTATGCTGCTCTGAAAATGGAAGTGCAGGAAATGAAAACAAGAGCACAAATAGCAACAAGATATCTTTCTGCAGACTGAGTCAGCCAGTGACAGGATATCCCAGTTGACTGCCTTTGTAACAGCATTTCAAAATCTACTACATACTTAAATATGGATGAAATAGGATGCTGTTTAATCAAGATCAATACATGAAACAGATAAAACTATCTCAGTTTTTGAGGGGCCTTTTCAACTGCAACCCTAAAGTCATTATTATTGTTTCAGCTTACAGTGACTGAAATATGTCTTATCTGTTTGATGGCAGGAAAAGCACAAGTGTTCATAATAACATTAACAATGGCTCTGTTATATTCAAGTCTAACAGTAAGTCATGACAGTGAGTCAGCATGAACAATATCAGGACCCTGAAACTGCAGCAGCTAAATGGAATTCAGCCCTCATGTATTTTATTGTTTACACCTGTGTTTCTCCTTCTGTGATGTAAAAATGTCTTTTGTGAAAAGGTCAATTGTTGCCAAGTGTTTTGCACTTTACCACAGAGAAAATAACTGATTCTCTCACTACTTCTTTTGCTTTACCCGTCGCCATGGTGAATCATTGGATTGCAGATCAATTGATGATGGCTTTAGTTATTCATCATGCATGTAATATGAGGTTAACATACTCAGAGCTGATACAACTGATGGTCAGTTAGGGTTAAACCAGCTTTCTGGAACAGGACCCTGAAACTCTACAGACCAATATTTATTAAAATAACTTTATAAGATGAAATAAGAGTCCAGCAGTAATCAATAATTACTATAGCTTCATTTTCATGCTTGTCATCCAACTATTACCCTCCTACAATCTGAACCAGGATCAGATTACATCCACACAATAAAATAACATCACTCACCTACAGTCATCACCAGCTTTTCGAAGAATTTGTTGCTGTGTGTTTTGTCAGTGGTTTCTGCTCCACACCAGTATGTCCCAGTGTCGTCTGTTGTTACGTTTCTCACTGTTATGGTGATCTTTCTCTTGTTTTTGTTCTCCTTCATAGAAAACCTCCCAATGGTCTTGTTGCGCTGTGTGCTTAATAGAGGTTTACATATAGATGGATCTTCTCCCTTACAGATGAATTTGTTTATAAAAGAATCATTTGGATATCGACACCAGTATGTGAGATTCTGTCCAACAGCTGGAAACGTGGTGAAGTTAGTAATAGAAGCTGTAGAGACACAGACAGAAAGACATCGTTGTGTATCAGTGACTGTATTTAACAACATATTTCAGAGACACTTTAATTATCTGTGTGAGAAAATCAAAGCTAAAAGAGTCAGATGTGTGCTGCTCACAGTTAACCTTCAGCTCACAGATTAAACCGTTCTGTTTGCAGAATAACTTGGTTTTAGCTGTTCTGTACGCAGTTTGTATAAATTGATTCTGACAGCCGTCTGTCTCAGAAAGGTAAAACCGGAATTAAAATACAGTAATGCTGTGCTAACACGTGGTCACCACACTCATAAGGTGTGAATGATATTGATAATATTCTAAACACTCAAATACGCTTTACAGGGCGAAAGATAAAAGTACTGGTTAAAAAAGAAAAGGAGGGAGAGAGGGGAAGGACAGAACTGGAGAATGCAGTCTTGAATAGGTGGGTTTTGAGGGTCTGTTTGAAAGATAGCATGGAGATAGGGGATGGTGAGGAACCCAGAGTCAGAGGAAGTATGTCATTGGGTGATTTTAAGTAGGGCAGTTTGAGTGAGTATCGACAACTGGCTCATGGATTGTGGACAGAGAAAGAATGATGGAGATGGGCCTGCAGTTGTTCAGGGTGTCGGGGTCGAGTCCAATGGACAATGAGGAGTTGCTTACATTGGTGATGAGTGGGGAGAGTGTTACATCTGCTTTTTTTGGAATCTGATCTTCATGGCAAATTGATTTCTCTACTGGATGTGGAAGCAAAATAATTTAGAGTAGTGGCACCACACTTTACATGTACAGTATGAAAGCTGAATTAAATCAGTTATGCCTCGATACATAAAAAGCAAAGAGAGAATATGTTTCTGAAATTTCATTTAATTCATTAGATGTGCATTGGGTTGTAAAAGTCGATTGTCAAATTTACAGGTGTACTTCCCAAAGTCCTCATGTTCTGTTTATTTTTAGGGTCTATGTCAGCAATTATTACTTTTTTGAAGACATATAGTGAAGACAATAGTTTACAAATGTGTTTTAATAAACTGTCATTCATCATTTGTTTATTTACCAGCCTCCACTGATGGGCACCCACAGGAGGGGCTATACAAACACATTGATAATATTATTGCTGAAAGTGGCGTCTACAGTCATCAACTCCTGAACCCCCTAAAATATCATGTCTGAAAAGCTTTTTCTTCCACCATTACTGTACTGTTCCTCACAATCCTGCTCTAACATTTGTACATAAAACTATAAATATCCTTTCAGACTTAAAATATTTCTCTTATAGCCTGAACAGAACTGAATTTTGAGGCTGAGACCAATTTCAGTGTTTACAAAAACTGGATGTCGATTATTTTTCATCATGTAAAATACTTTAAAAAAAATATTAGTTTTTTTGTGACCAAGCTTTACTGAGTGAGACATCTTAACTGTGAAGTCAGTGCTCTACAAGCAGGGCTGTAACAAGTGTAATCTCTAAGATCAGTAGTCCAATAGCAGCAAACGTTTTACCTGTCGTCTGTGAGAGGAAGAGAAGAAGAAAGATCTTCATTTTGTTGGATGCTGAGATCCTCCTTGTTGGTTGGTCTCCTGTATCTGCACAGCTCTATTTCCTGAACTTACATCTTATGATACCTAAAAACTACTCCTCAATTTTCTATCCTGCCCCTTTCATCTTTCTTCTTTAAGTTTTAGCCACATCTCCTCCCACCTTATACATCACTTCATTACACAGTAAATAGGAAATGACTGTAATGAGAGAGAGAGAAAACTTGTACTGTCCCCTGACACAGTGCAACAGTTATAACTTATGCAAACTACAAACTGTGAATGCGTACATCCTCATCATTATTCATGATCTGGTTTTAATCAAGTAAATTACGTACTTCATAGATCATAAATTGTGTATCTGCACAGGTGACTGAGGGAACAAACTAAAGACATTTTATTAGAATTTTTTTCTCCTAAAACCTGTGGATGTTAAACCTTTGGGCAGCAGTAGCTCAGTCTGTGGGGTCTTATCTTGGGAACCGGATGGTGGTTCCGGTTCACGTCCAGCACGGATCAGTCAAAAGGAGTTCAGACTGGCAGCTGGAGAGGTGCCACTTCACCTCCTGGTCACTGCTGAAGGTTCACCTGAGCAAAGCCTGAACCCCTAACTGCTCAGGGAGCCTGACTGCGTGGCAGCCCCCTCACTCTGACATGTAGAGGTCCTGTTTGTGCGTTTGTATTTTGGACCTGTGTGTGACCCTGTTGGAGGGCAGTGGAAGCAACCTATGAACATAACATATTATCACCTTCAAGATGAACTTGTTCGCAAAGCAGAGTGGTCATTCATCTGTCCAGTATTCTCTCTGTTAGCTTTGTTTTGGGGCTAGAACCTCTCCTGAGAGAAGATTTGACTCTTTAGCTGCTAAATGCTCGACTGTGTTCACCAGTTAGTCTCTAACTGTGTCTGTCTCCTGTTTGCTGCTGAGCAGATAGTGAACAATGGCCTTTTAGTTTTTCATTGTCAGATAGTGTTCAGCATTTAAATGGTAGGAGATACAGCTCTTTTTAAACAGAAGCTGTAATAATAAGCTGTAAAGCTTCACATGGAAATGTTGGAACAACAGTAGTGATGGCTGTGGATGAGGTCTATGTTGACACGTCTCTTACTATTATTATTTTTTATCTCCCTCTGGCTATGAGACATTCTCACCCTTAACCAGAAAAGCTATTTAAAACCAACAGGTTGCAAACCACAGGCTCACTTAAGTCTCACCATAGAACAAAACCACATGAAACTGCTGCTGATGGCTGATAAAATTATATTATTATATTTATAAACAGGTTATCATGTTTAATCAGGTTTATTTGGCTGAATTAGATTAAAACGTGTGGCAGTATCTGCCTTGCCTTGTTTTATTGAGTTTTTGTTGGCAGAAAAAAAAAAACACCTTCAGAGTACTCTGGCAAAAAGATAAACCTGGCACAGCTTTTGCCAGACTGCAAAGGAAGTCTTTGGGTAAGAAGCTGAGTTGGCAAATGAAACACAAGCAAGCAGACGTTCCTTTGTAACTGGATCGCTGTATTTCTGCTTTTTATCTCACAATCAGTGCAACCAAAGATTAAACTGTTGATGCTGTGATCATTTTCCAGATCTTTTGTCAGATCCTGTGATCCTTTAACCTGATGGACTGTCAAACTGGGCTGGATCGTTGATGTCTCACCGTCATTTTAAACAGCACACCCCCACCATCACAGCCCCTGCATTGTTTTAACACTGTTATAGTCACTCCTTGTTCAATAATAATTAGTCATTCAACAAAACTGAATTAGAAAAGCATCACGGTCAGACTGAACATCCTCAGTCAGGTTATGATCTCAGGCTTTAGTGTCATTCTATTTTAGGTCACTTACAAAAAGCTCCACCCCTCATATTTTTCTACAACACATCATTGCAGACATCAGTTAACCACAGGAAACTGTGCTTTTTTGGTGATTTAAATTCAAAATGAATGTATCTAGATATTCAGCACATTAAAGTTAATTTGCTATTTGTAAAATTCTATGTGATTGTTGCATCTTTCAAGTTATTTTGATGATATCTGTAGTCTTGGTAAAAGGCATGTAGTGTTGTCTCCCACAGTGTGTCACGGTGGGATCTCAAATGGGGGTCCGTCGTCTAATGTGAGTCAGTTTTGGGGGTCCTTGACATGAAAAAGTTTGAGAACCAGTGCTTCACAAAACTCAAGGAGATCATTCCATCTCACAATTTCTAGCAGCTGCAACATTTAAAGTGAGAAAGTTCACAACAATAAACAATCAACATGACTGAAATGCTCAACTTCAGAACACGGTAATTTCACCACTGTATTTCTAAATATATTGACATTATTACATTATAACTGACATATTAAATTCACTTTCACACAGTGAGCTTGAGGATGGCAGCGCTAGGGAGTTAGAGAAAGGGAAAAGAGCAATACCAATACAGAGGGCGAATCAGAGACTGAGGAGCAAACTGGGACACAATGTCAGTCTTAATTTTACCACTAGATGACACTAAAGTAAAAAAATTAAATAAAATCCTGCATACAGTGAAATTAATAAGATTAAATGAGGAGGCTGTTACACTGGTGTTGTAAATAATAAGCAACATTTTAATGATTGTTTTCTTGTACATAAAACTATGAAATATATAATATAATAACTCAAACCTTGGTGACTCAAACAATGTGGATGATGAAGTGAATCGTGTGTCTCTGGATTGATAGGATTTAAGTTGACAGCGTCCAACATCTGAATATCTTGGTGAAGTTCCTGAAGTCTGAGCTGGATTCATTGTAAACAACCACATCAGCAATGAATGACCTGAAATTTTGACCATACATGTAGTAAAAGTCATAAATTGACAGGGCTGATCTTTGCTCGGTGCTGCTGTGGCTTGTTGACTGTTGTGTAGAGAGGATCCTCTGAAGAGCTGGACGGCTGGCTGACTGTACAGTAGGCTGGATTTTGCTTCACAGTAGAATATTCGTAGGCAGCAGAGCTGGGTTTGAGGATCACTGTCTCACCACCAACTCTGTCAGAGCTGTTTGGAAGTTGATGCTGGAGTAATGCTGCGAGGCAGAGGGGTTTGTGGGAAAGTTGGCAGTGGCATAAATCGAGTTCATCTTATTTCCTGAGTTTGGCGTCTGCTGTATCTCCTCATAGACATGATCCTACCAGAATGAAAAATACAGTCTGAAAAAATCATATAAAATCCATATAATAACAACTGATTCTGAGTAACTGATATTAAATAAATACTATTTTAAAGAACAATAGCTTTTAATAATATTGTTTAAATAATTAAAGTTTTAAAACATTCCCATATACATTATATCATATATCAACATATTTCCCATTGTAGTCTGCAGTGGTTTTTTGATAATTATCTCGTGGTAACAGTATAATACTTTATAGGGAGAGTTTATCCTCCTTGGTTTCTGTTCAGAGGCAACAGGGAAGAAACAGCGAAGAAATGTGTGTGCCAGTTGGTTATCAGAGGTGGTAGTGCTCCTGCATCTAAATTCGACCACTGTAGGTAAAATATTCATAACAAACACAACAGGATCTCCACACGAAGCAAAAAGGGAGATTCTGTCACTGAAACAGTGAAAACGCTGCATCCTTGTTGGTCAATATTAATTTATATTGTTTTTTCTATGAAATGAGAGTCCCAGAAGTTCTTTCTTATTCTTTTAACACTCATACTTGAGTAATCCAGCTATTGCACAATTATTCCAGCAATATCTATTCAACCTATACAGTACCACAACACACACAAACATTCATATATACCAACAAGTCCTCAAACCTAAACGACAACATAGGTTGTTTTTACCAATATCCAAACACAAAGGAGGCAAACCCTACCTACACAGCTGTTGGGTTTACCATTCAACATACATACAATCACTGACTGTGAAGGTTAGGATGAGGTTTGGGATCTACGGGGTTCTGTCAACGCCTTTAAGACTAGGGCTGCGTCCAAACTGCGTCTTTTTTGCTTAGGAAGGTTCCTAACTGAGTCAAGTGACCTGGAAGTATTTTGATTATTGTTGTTTTTTAGTAGGCTATGGGTAAAATCGATTTAGATCACAGATCTGCGGGCAGAGCATATACTAGGCTATTCGCTCAGCACCCCTTCTGCACAGTCGCTCTCTCTCTCTCTCTCTCTCACCTTACGCTGTCATTCTGTGGGAAACACCCTGTCCATTATTTGGTAACTGTTACCCTATCTGCCTTTTTGCTATGTACCATCCACCGTGATGTCCGCCTTTAGATGGCGGACGCATCTTTCTTTGACCTCATGACGTTTTCCATCGAGGTCAAAGAAAGGTGGTTAGGAAAGAAGATTATTCTTGACTTTTCGAACGCAGCCTAATATGGTTAGCTAACTAGCTAACCCTGAAGCTACGAAGCTAAATTAGTTAATTCTAATTAACTTTATTAAAAAAAACAAATTAATCTTGTTTCACATTGGAACTCAGGTGAAAGGCGGCTAAATTGCTTTTCTCCAACAAACCCACCACCACAGGAGTGCAACTTTAAGGCTATATATAATAAGGGACCGTCTGGTCTGGCCGATTATCGGCGGCAATATTCAGCAGTTTTCCAATAATCTGCATCAGTCATTTCAAAAACAGATTGTCGATATAATCAATTAATTAAAAAATGTGCTCCTTTGGCTCTGATGCAGCCGCTTCTTTCAGTCTGTACTCACCACTCTGTGTGGTGGAGCAATGTCCCGCCCACAGTACTAGCTGATTGGTTACAAGTCACGAGTAATAACCTATCAACACTGACTATTGTGCGGAAGTAGCCAATAGAACAAGCGAGCCACCACACTGTGGCCCCTCCTCTCCCATGTCAGCAGAGCTCTGCAAATACACACACGTGGAGCAAAGTCAGCGGAGATCATTGTAGGTTACACAAGTTGACCATAATGACGCCCGTTACTGTAAGTAAGTGCAGCAAAAACAGCAATACTAGTAAAATGCTGATTCTGCATCAGCACAAAAAGCAGGAACGTGCACTAAGCAATATTTAATCTGCTCTGTTTCATCCACCGCAGCTGTGATTTGGTTTTACATAAGCACATGTAGGTAGCTAGCTAGGCTAATAGCTAGTTATAAACTAGCTAAATCTCTATGGTTGTAGCCTGTTTAGCTGAGATGATACGTATCTTAAAATTTACTAGCTCCTTGCAAACTCAGCCGCTTGTTGAGAGGCAAGCGCTGGGCGCTGAGTGTTTTTTTCCCGGTCACCAAGAGTGAAAAAATGTTCAGCTTGCAGCTTAACGCAGCGCTGGTCAATGGTCTTACCCAGCCATTCTATCACAGTGCTGGGGGGGGCTCTTTAACCTCGGGGTGGTGATGGGGCAGTGGATAAGATGCATGCCTTTCATGTGAGAGACCTGGGTTCAAATCCGCTGTGAAACACCAATGTGTCCCTGAGCAAGACTCTTAACCCCTAGTTGCTCCAGAGGCGTGCGACCTCTGACATATAGAGCAATTGTAAGTCGCTTTGGATAAAAGCGTCAGCTAAATTAATAAATGTAAATGTCTTCATGCAGAACCTCATGCCTACTCTACACTTTGTGGTGACATTTTTACATTTAGTAAAATTAACTTGCCTACTTGCAGCACATCACACACATATTATAATATAAATAGCAGGTGGTAAAGGAACAGTTTATGATAATTTTTCAATTAATAGTCCATCTCTGGGATGGATCTCTAATTCATTTAATTTACTATTTTAAAGATTAAACATGACAATTAACTTTAATCTTGTTATTTTCAACAAAGTTTTGTGTTGGAGTTTGTGTTATTCAAAATTTTGACACCAAGATTAAAAATTTTACAGCAAATGCATAACGGTTCCACATATAAGTCATCGGTCGGCCCAAAAAAATAAATACCAGTCGATCCATAATGCGTTTGCATTGTACTGCCACTAGAGGTCGCTTACATCAATACACGTAAACATGAGTCGTAATTTTGTGTGGCTTAAACACGGTTATTTTTTTTCTGTAGAGGACAGTTGTATTTATACACTGACCTTTTTGTGCTGTGCTGCTGCTCCATTTCTTGTGTTCTTTAAAGGTGAAAATCCTGGAAGAAGCAAAAGTAAGATAACAATAGCTGAGTAAAAAAGTAGAAGGACATAAATGGATTAATTTCACCAATTTTTATCAAATTGAGACACTACCTCTTTAAGCCTTTAACTTTAAGCCTTAAAGCGACATTATTATTCCCATAACGCACTGAAACATGGCTGGTAGCAACTTAAAACATATTCCTGAGGACCGCTATCCATTTATCTCAGATTCATAGTCCTCGGGTCCATGCGACTGTTTTTTTATTATTATTATTAATATTATTGCTATGTCTTATAGATATATATGTGTTTATCCTTAACCTTTCCTCTCCTATACTCCTTATGTTATTCCTACTGTGATGTAAATTTCCACAACAGTACAGACACCAAATCTCGCAAAAAACAAATTTTATATAATGTTACTTTAACCATCGGATCTTGCCTTTGTTTACACCTGGTATTTTTTTCTTGTTTTCTTGTTATCCTCATTGAGATTGGATCTCTCCTAAACTGCGCATGAGTAATTTCAGGTGGAGGCTAATTCGCACCAGACTCATGCTGGTGAGTTGGGGAAAATGTAAAGTTTATACTTTGTGAAATTCTGTTTTACAACAAATTTATAATTATTTGTTTCCTCTTGTAAGTCTGGCAAATAAGTGAAGTTTTTCCTTTCTTTGTATAAAAACATTGTGTCCATTAACTTAAAGACTGAAAAAGAAGTCATGTATAGTCACTACAAACGATATAGAGTGTCTTCTTTGGCCTTGTTAGTCCTCACCTCCACACAGGGTGGAGCTGTTGTTAATGTGGTTTTCTGTTTACAAAATGTGAGTGTTTCTTCTGCAAACTGGTAATAACTCTTACATGCGTAGATTAGGATCAAAATCAGCACAAACAGCAGCAGCAGCACAGCTACACAGACGATCACAGTGATGACGACGTCAGGGCCACCTGCAAAATAAACCACAATTATTTTTTTAACATGGGTCATTATCATCCACAGCTGTCTGTGTTGAGAAAATGTAAGTGGACGTTTATAGAAATTTCATTTTAACCCCCCCCCGCTCTTCTCTAGCAGAAGATTTAAGAAGTCAAACGTGCTCTCTTACCAGGACTCTCTGCAGATGCAGTAGTTGACTGGGTTGAAAAAAACAGAGATGTGGATACTGCTGGTGATACTGCTGGTGATACTGAAAAAGAAAACAATTAAATTTGTGAAGAGAACAGACAGAATAACCCTTAGAGGTCAGAATGTTAATTATCCTTAAAAAGTATAAAACATGCATAGTGAAACACTAAATCTGTTTATGAATTGATCACTTGGGTTTTAGTTGTTGCTGATGAAGTTCTGCTGTCACATCACTGCAGAACGCAGCTCTGAAGAAGTGCAGGAACTTAAAACAAGCATTAAGCAGCATCAGGATTTCACAGCCATTTGAAAAAAAAGTCAAATGTTTTTTAACAAAGCAAATTATAAGGCTTAATGAGTTTCAGCTTAATTGCTTCTTCACATACACTATAAAGGTTCTGATTTCTTCTGCAATTTTCAATTATGATTTTGGTTTCCACAAGTTATGAAAACAAAATAATCTAGGTAAAATAATTTTTGTGAGACATTCTTTTTCGCAATGATGCTCTCGCTTTGACTTGTGTTTATAATCCAGTGTGTTATGTGACCTATATGTTCAGCTCGGGCCAAGATGAAGGTGGAGCGCTTTTGATCAAGAGCAAGTAAGGAAAAACCAATTCAGCTGTTGACGGTTGTTACACACTGTGGCAGTCCCAAAGACTGGTGCAAATAAGTTAGAAAAGAGCCTTAAGCATATGACAGTAAACAACTGTGTGGTAACATGCCCAGATCAGACAGATCTGGTCACAAAGCACGTTTTATACTGAATGAGTTAGAGAAAATTCAAAGTTCAAGAAGATCCTTTTTTTCAAAAAGGTCATCCATCCATCGTCAACCGCTTCTCCTCCCAGCTTACATCGGGCGAAACGCGGGGTACACCCTGGACAGGTCACCAGTCCATCTCAGGGCCACACATAGACAGACCACCAATCATATCCACACCTAAGGACAATTTCGGAGACACCAATTAACCCAGCCTGCATGTCTTTGGATGGTGGGAGGAAGCCGGAGCACCCGGACAGAACCCACGCGGACACGGGGAGAGCATGCAAACTCCCCAAATCATTGACTAATCGTGTTAATTAATCACAATCTCAATATTATTAGTCAATAAGTGATTATGATTTTTTGCCATAATTGAGTAATAGGATGCTCTTGCCAGGATTGCTAAGTAAAAATAGAAAATAGATTAGAAAGAAAAAATATTAACTCAGTTGTGTCTTTTTAACTGAAACCAAAAATTTTTTTTCTGTTTCAGTTGACAGTGACTGAAATGTATATCACATGCAATGACAATAAAGGCAATAAAATCAAAAATGGTCTTTTGGCAGGAACAGCACAGGTGTTAATAATAACATTAACAATGGCTCTTTAAGTCATGACAGTGAGTCAGCATGAACAATATCAGGACCCTGAAACTGCAGCAGCTAAATGGAATTCAGCCCTCATTATTTTATTATTTACACCTGCATTTTTCCTATGTGATGTAAAAATGTCTTCTGTGAAAAAGGTCTGATGCTGCCAAATGTTTTGCTCTTTACCAAAGGGAAACTAACAAACTAACTAACTGTGGTTCATTATAAAACTTCAACTGTAACTTTATTCACGCCAACTCAGATTCTGTCACTGCTTCTTTTGCCATGGTGAATCATAGTATTGCTGATCCAATGATGATGGCTTTATTTATTCACTATGCATGCAATTGCTGACTACAGGTTGACATATAGATGGATCTTCTCCCTTACAGATGAATTTGTTAATCGGAGCATCATTTCGATATCGACACCCGAATGTGAGATTCTGTCCAATATTTGGAAACTTGGTGAAGTTAGTAATTTTAGCTGTTGAGAGACAGACAGACACTTAATTTTCTGTATGAGTAGATCAAAGCTCAAAGTGTCAGATGTGTGCTGCTCACCTTCAACCTCCAGCTGTATCTTTCTGAGAGAAGCTCTGTAACTTCCTTCATGTGTTTCCACTCCACACCAGTAGACACCAGCATCATGTGAGGACACGTTACTGATGGACACGCTGAAGCTACTGTTGGTTTCTGTGAGAGTGAATGTCCCGTTTGACTTCAGAGAGGATTTTGTTGATAAAATATCCTCACAGATTGAACCGTTCTGTTTGCAGAAGAACTTGTATTTGTTTCCTGTGTAATCACATGTGATGGTGGTTTTAGCTGTTCTGTACGCAGTTTGAATAAATTGTCTCTGGCAGCCGTCTGTCTCTGCAAATAAACAAGAAATATCAAATGTGAAACTGAGATACTGTGCTAACACATGATGGAAATGCACATCACTACACTCGTACAGTATGTATTGGAATATGATCTTTATGGCAAATTGATTTTGATTTTGGTTATGTAAGTAGATGATGACTTAAAATAGAAAGTGACTCTACTGAATGTGAAATTGGAGTCAAAATACTTTGCATTAAGTTCTTATCATTTTAATATGTATATATATTTAAGCGCTGGATCCAAAGAATGTATTTGAATGAAAAGTGTCTCTTACCAACGTCCAATTTCACTTCCTCTGTGTCCTGGGATGAGTCCGACGTTGGTGAAATTTACACTGATAGTCCCCGAAGTCCTCACGTTCAAGTTGTTTAATGGCCACTCTGAGATTTGTATTTTTTGGATCATGGTACAGGGAAACTCTGCCTTTGTTTTCCCACGCATTCTTCCCAAAGCTTTTTATGATTTCTTTGGGAGTAACTACATCAATACTTTGATATTTTACATTTGGTTTTGGATATTTGCAGGTGAATTCAACCCATCCTGATGCACATCCCTTCACTTTAGACAAGGCCTCACAACCTGTAGATCAAAGACAAAAGTTCACATCATGTTAGACACTGAAACGATTTGACATCTTTCATCTGAATTAGCTTTCTGTTAATGAAACAAACACTGTTTCTTGTATACATTTGCAGGATCTGTCAGCAGACAGCTCTTTGAATCAGTGGATCACAGGCATTCAATGCTCAGTTGCACGTTTCTTTTAATTAAATGATTTTGACCTTTACTTTTACACACATAATGTTATATTATTACAAGTTATTAAAGTTACCCACCTGTTAGATAATTGTGAAGCACATTTTAATTAATAATTAATAGCACTTTAATTTGAGCTCCTTCTACCAATTATAAGCAGCATACAAATATTGAATACATGGTTTATAACACACTTAATGTAGTCGTAAGCTGCTATGAGGACATTTTAATAGTATCTGTCAGCAATTATATTTTTTCTTATTTAAAGAAAGATTTTATATAATTGCAACTGTGTTAATATTCTGTCATTCATCATCTGTTTACAATCCACTTTTGAGCGCCCACAGGAGGGGCTATACAAACACGTAAGTGCATTGCTGGAGTCTAAACCTAAATCTAAAGCAACATGTGAACAGCCTAAAATATCCTGTCTGAAAAGCTGATTTTGTTTATGTTTTTTATTTAGTTTTTTTCTCTGAAGACTAACTAATTTGAGCTAAAGAACAATTTCCTCTGTTCATTCAGATTCATTAAACCTTTAAATGACATATTGTTGTGGCATGGTCCTTGCTAGTGAAATTGTTTATATACTGATCTTGTGTTTTAGATGCTACGAGATAACATCACAAGGGAGCTGGCTATTTAAAAAACCCCACATGAAATGTTGTCAGTGAACATTTTGCAGACATGAATTTGTCTTTTAGCCACACCGCCTCAAAGACACCTTGTTATTGTTTATTCTCTTACCATGACTGTACTGTTGTTTACAATCCTGCTGTAACATTTGTTCACAAAACGATAAATAATTCTCTTATAGCTCGACCAGAACTGGATTTTGAGGCTGAGACCGATTTCAGAGCACTGTATTGAAGGCTGTATTATATTAAACTAATACAAAATGAGAATAACCCAAACCAGACCAACCTGTTAATTATTTCAGAAGCAGAGCTGTAACAAGTGTAATCTCTAAGATCAGTAGTCCAATAGCAGCAAACGTTTTACCTGTCGTCAGTGAGAGGAAGAGAAGAAGAAAGATCTTCATTTTGTTGGATGCTGAGATCCTCCTTGTTGGTTGGTCTCCTGTATCTGCACAGCTCTATTTCCTGAACTTACATCTTATGATACCTAAAAACTACTCCTCAATTTTCTATCCTGCCCCTTTCATCTTTCTTCTTTAAGTTTTAGCCACATCTCCTCCCACCTTATACATCACTTCATTACACAGTAAATAGGAAATGACTGTAATGAGAGAGAGAGAAAACTTGTACTGTCCCCTGACACAGTGCAACAGTTATAACTTATGCAAACTACAAACTGTGAATGCGTACATCCTCATCATTATTCATGATCTGGTTTTAATCAAGTAAATTACGTACTTCATAGATCATAAATTGTGTATCTGCACAGGTGACTGAGGGAACAAACTAAAGACATTTTATTAGAATTTTTTTCTCCTAAAACCTGTGGATGTTAAACCTTTGGGCAGCAGTAGCTCAGTCTGTGGGGTCTTATCTTGGGAACCGGATGGTGGTTCCGGTTCACGTCCAGCACGGATCAGTCAAAAGGAGTTCAGACTGGCAGCTGGAGAGGTGCCACTTCACCTCCTGGTCACTGCTGAAGGTTCACCTGAGCAAAGCCTGAACCCCTAACTGCTCAGGGAGCCTGACTGCGTGGCAGCCCCCTCACTCTGACATGTAGAGGTCCTGTTTGTGCGTTTGTATTTTGGACCTGTGTGTGACCCTGTTGGAGGGCAGTGGAAGCAACCTATGAACATCATTAACATATTATCACCTTCAAGATGAACTTGTTCGCAAAGCAGAGTGGTCATTCATCTGTCCAGTATTCTCTCTGTTAGCTTTGTTTTGGGGCTAGAACCTCTCCTGAGAGAAGATTTGACTCTTTAGCTGCTAAATGCTCGACTGTGTTCACCAGTTAGTCTCTAACTGTGTCTGTCTCCTGTTTGCTGCTGAGCAGATAGTGAACAATGGCCTTTAGTTTTTCATTGTCAGATAGTGTTCAGCATTTAAATGGTAGGAGATACAGCTCTTTTTAAACAGAAGCTGTAATAATAAGCTGTAAAGCTTCACATGGAAATGTG